TGTTGCGGCACATTGTGCAACGTTGCATCGTCACGTAGATTGAGTGTTCCTCGTCCTGTTGCGGGACAAAATGTCCCCTAGTGTATACGGGGCATTATTTGTGGACTTGTTTCGTGTTTTTTCGAACCCGCGTTCTCGCAGCCATGTGCTCTGCCACTGCGATACATTGAAGACGGACACAAAAAGAATAAGTGTGAGTACCCCTGATTTCAGCGTACATTTACACTTTTCGCCCGGCAGAAATTTAACTTAAAAGTCGAACCGAGTGTAGGTGGGGATGATACTTTGGCATATTATATTCCTTTACCCGCAGACTTATATAAACGAACTAGTTACACCGAATTTAACTAAAATTTTACAAAAAATCCTTCCTACAATAGGGGAAGTCTGTGTCCACGTTTTTCTATGTAATGAATGGTCTCATGGCGGCTTTGTACCGTAGCAACAATTTTCGAATGTATCACGTTTATTTCACACTAAATATTACAATGGCATGAGCACAGAACACAATTACTCTCTACCAAGAGGGCATGAGCGTACGCTACGAACGTCAATCCACCTGCCAAATGAAGGCCAAAAAACGCCTTGTTAAAAAAGAATCATTTGGACGGCTCTGTAGCGCAGTGGGTTATCAATGAGTTGCAGCGTTAAGGACCGCGAGTTCGAATCCCGTACGGAACAGGCATTTGTACGTCCTACAAGGTCTGGAGGTTTGTTCTTGTGAAATTTATGTAACTACCACGATACAGGAGAGCAATGTTAGTGTGAAGGTAGTTTCTTTTTTAAAGAAAAAAGAAGAAGAAAAATTGAAACGCAGTCCACAATTGACGAAGATATCGAGTGACATACATACATAAAAACGAACAGGTTACACTCTAATTGAGACTCTCACTCCTTTTTTTGAAGTCGGCTAAATAGAAATACCAATTCGAAACGAACACCTATATATAGGTGTTCATATCGAATACAATATTACAAAATATACAACGTATCTAAATATTGTATGCATTTTGTAAGCATTGTATTTGGTTAGGACAAAAAAACATATGTTAAAATACAACTGACGCATTACATAACAATAGACACAAAACAAACAAAATCTAATGCGACATCAAAAACCGTCGTACCATCAACTTTTTTTTTATCACAGCACCCATCATTCTAGCCAGTACACTGACGAAAGTTAAACATCAAATTCTAGCAAGTGTGTCACTACAGTAAAAAAAAAAATATATCTCCTTTGTCAACATGCCACGGCTTCAGGCGGACAAACAAGGAAATCTGATCCTTATTTCATAACAAAAACATATTATAATAATGAATGGTCCCTGAGAGTGTCGCATTCTATGCTAATTAACTGCCTTCGCGACGATTGACCGTCGGATGGTTTGTTTAATCCTCGATAAAAAATATGTGTTAGATAGTCGATGTAGATAGTGTTATAAAATAGCCAATATTTGTAGTAAATGATTTATTATATTTTTACGAATACTACACATTAGATATTTTTATTTTATTTTATTACAGAGACACACGCAGGTGTTAGCATCCAGTCAATATTCCTATTAATAAAATCGGTGTCCCTTTTGTGGTCTCACCTAACGAAATGACAGGGGAATAATTATCATAGACTTCAGACTTCCTAAAGCATCGAGCATGTGTTTTGAATATAGACATTAATGAAACGAATCACGCACACAACTGTAAAAATTCAAAATACAGTGAGGTCATTCTACGTGTATCGGACCAAAATTAAAAATCTAATTTGTCAAACGATGAACTTTACGTGGTAGTGCCGTGCTATAGATATATCGTGGTTTTAGCTCGACCGGGAAAGGACCACGCTCTCACAACGTAAAATAGCAGCTAAATGCTGTTGCGTTTCGTACGGTGAATTTAGAGAAGCGGAGATCCTTTATACTGGAAATGACTCATTCCAATTTAGTAATCAAGTGTGACAACGCATCTGCATTTTGATTCTTTACCGAGAATAGATGTAGATGTCTATGGGATCACGAGATCTCTAAAACTATACGCCCCATTGACTTGGAATTTGGCATAAATACTCCTTTCTCGACGTAGAGGGTAGACACCCACTAAAAAGGATTTTGGAACATCCAACCCCTGAGGGTATGTCATAGGGTGATACAGCTTGTATGTAATATACACTTGTATAAATTTTACTTCATGGATCAAACGCTACAATATTAACACTATGAATCATCACACAATACCATTAAATATTTCACAAATGATTAAAATGAAAGGAATTTTAACTACGACTGTGTATTTAATAGTTTTAAAAAATATCTTAAAGATAAATTAATCTTAGCAAAACCCAATGGTTTTGGGGTTAGATGAACTGGTTGTCCCTGTGTTGACACGACATATATCGCAACCCTGGCCAACAGTTTGGAGTACCTTACCTACACCTGGTTTAGAATCACATCCGGTGCCACATTTGTGTAAGAACGAAGGGAATCAGAGTCTGTTTGTATTTCGATAACCAATTCGCCTTCCAAGAGTGGGGAATACAGGAAATCTCTATAAGAGACTTTCTCCGGGAGAGACTTAGTCCATTAGTGATTGTTTTTACGTACCAATGACTCAAAAGTTAAGTATAATATTCTGAGAGGAACGTTGTTTTAATAATTTTTTTACCCTTTTTTTTTACATGTTTCATAGGGGCTTATCTCAAGCAAGTGCGTTATTAGGTACGTATTATCTAGTAAAATATGACGTTGGTCTTAAATCCATGTAATTCTCCAACGGCGGTGGCCGTAGTAAGGTCGGAGACCTTATAAGCGGCTTAAAGACGTCCGAGTCATTTTGCCTTCGTTATTACTGTTCCTACGTTTCCTTTATTTAATTTGTTCTTACGGTTTGAAAACAATTGCATTTAATTATTGTAGAAAATTATTGTAAGGGGTAAATGAGAAACCAAACATTATAAACGTGTAGTGGCGGTGTATGAATATCCTCTATCCCATAACATCCAGTGTGTGTCGAAAGAGGCGACAGAGGGAAACTAAACCAGGAGAAGGGCAGCAGCACTGCCCTTTTAAAAAAATCATTAGAAAATGAAAAAAAAAACTGCTGTTGCCATCCTTCTTGCAAAGCGTGGCAACTATGGGAAATATACCCCCTATGAGGCAATCTATGGGGGAGGCTTATGTTCAGTAGTGGACTTTTGATAGATAATGGTAATGGTATACTCTGATAAGACATGTTCTGCATGTGGCTCAGAACCATGTTTTTCTTTGGGGGAGGCATAAATTCAGAAGTAGACTGTAAAAATGATTAATTGTGTACAACAACACTTCTTTCTTTTACAGCCCGTAAAATTCCACTACTGGAACCATTTCCAGGCTGGATTTAAACGAATCGTCACACTTGGTAAAATTGACGATCACAGTGCCAAATGTCTGGGTCTACGTATTTTACCTCAGACGTAACCGGAATGGTTATATTGCCATTAATTGGAAGCCATAAGATATTTCTGGCATTATTCATGGTCGCCCCTTTTTAATGAAAACGAGACGTTTCATGTTAATCCGCAAGGTTGACAACACATCTGCAAATTGATTTCTTAATCGAGCATAGATGTAGATGAACCACAGCACACACTTACGATCAAGTGGACTGTGTGTTCGTTTGTTATCCTTATACCATAAAAAATTGCAACCACTGGACGGAATGTGGTGACATATTGTCTTAATTACCACCACACGCCACTAATACTGTACGGCTACAATAATGCTCAACTATAACCTTTCAATGCTTCTACCATATAATAACTAACTATTTGCCAATAAGTGGCTGATAGTGTTGGAACACATGGTAGAGCCATGCTGCAGCTATATTACAGTTGTACCACGAATGGGTCGTTCGACCGGGAAAGAACCACGCTCTCACAGAATATCAGCGTAAAATAGCAACGTAACACTGCTGTGTTTCGTATGGTGAGTGTGGTGAACCAGAGACGATGATGATGGTTAGTGGACGCTGTGGCCCATAAACATCTACATCTATCCTCAATTAAGAACAAAAATGCAGATGAGTTGTCACTGGAAACGCGGTATCTTAGTTCTCAGGGATGACAACGCATCTGCATTTTGATTCTTCATCGAGGATTGAAGTACTATGGGTCACAATATCCACTTACCATCACATGGGATTTGTGCTCGTTTGTCACCCTTATTCTATGAACAAAAAAGAACACAATTCCGTCTGATGGTAAAAGGTGATATGCCGAAAATGGTAAGGTGCACTGGTTTAGTTGAACAATCCTCCGTTGACATCAAAATGATAATCACTTTGGAGTACATTGCGTTGTATGCTATATAGCTTTTCATAAGAGCAGAAATATTATGAGACATACGACGCAATGTACACTACAAAGTGATTATCATTGTTTTTTTAGTGTATTAATAGCAGGTTTGCATGCTATTGATAATTAAATAAACATTTTTACAATTTTTGTATGTTCGTCCGGTCTAGTAGCAGTGCCAGGAGGTACATAGGCTATATTTTATTCAAAAGTACGAAAATTAAAAATAATTTAAAATTAAATAATTTTGTACAACCGACTTCAATATAAATTATTAAGAATACCTTAAAAACTATTGGTCACCTTAATCAAATTTATATGGGACCACATGTGAAGGACCAGCTTTCAAATAAAAAAAAATCATCAATATCGGTTCACCCAGTAAAAAGTTAAGAGGTAACAAACATAAAAAAATACTGTCGAATTGAGTACCGTCTCCTTTTTGAAGTCGGCAGAAAATATATAATTAATGGTATATGATTATCTTAAATCTATTTAAATTGAGGCGAAGCAAAGGCGAGTCGCTAGTGTAATATAATAATACAATACGATATGTTTGTATGTTAATGTTAAAACTGTCCCGGAGTGATGAATCGCTTTGCAAAGGACCCCTTATTTCCTTGTTTTTGTTGAGAATTACTTTAATTGACCATCTATAATATACACTTACCTTTCCTTTGTATGATGACCCTGAGCAAAGGCCTCGCCGTAAGCAACGCTCGCGCCAGATTGTCGTCATTGTTGATAGGTAGGAGATCTCCATCTCGGGGATCAGTGTAGGAGATGAGGAACGCGACGTCGTGCAGCCGATGCAGCTTCTCTATCAGCGCTTTGAAGTCTTCATACTTGAGCTTCTCCGTGCGACTGAGAGAGAAGCGTCGGAACTCCGCGTCAAACTGTGGACGGACGAGTCTTGCATTAAAATCAACTTTGTGAAACGAATGCTGTAAGTTTGGCAGGGAGGGTTATTGTTGGTGTAAAGGAAGACGTTGATTGCCTCGTTCGTCTAGTGGGCGTGACCGTGACAGTTGATCATGCGGTCCAGGATCAGAATCCCGGGTTGATATTCTAATCTCATCTGATAATCTACCATGATGCCAAATTTCAAATTTCTAAGTCACCTATAAGAGGTCTAGGTTTTTGATGAGTGAATCAGTGATTGATAATAATTTAAAATTAAAAATTTTGTACAGCCGACTTCAATATAAGTTATTAAGAATAACTCAAAAACTATTGGTCTGACCTTGATCAAATTCAGATGGGACCACACGAGAAGTATCAGCTTTCAAATAAAAAAAGAATCATCGAAATCGGTTCACATAAAAAAAAACATACAGACGAATTGTGTACCGTCTCCTTTTTGGAAGTCGGCAGAAAATAGCACTTTTCAGACCTTAATAACTCAAGAAATTATAAACTATTAATGAAATTGAGATTCGATGTATTCAAAGTGTCCTTAGTTTTTGAGTTGTAAACATAGATACACACTGCCGATGTCACGCAATTTACGTGGTGGCTCTACCATGCTGCAGCTATATTACCGGTATAGTTGTAGCATGAAGGTTCAGCTGGACCGGGAAAAAACCGCGCTCTCACAGGATACCAGCGTAATATAGCAGCTTAACGCTGCTGTGTTTCGTATGGTGAATGTAGAGAACCGGAGACCCTTTTTACTGGAAACGAGGCATTCAATCTTAGTTCTCACGGGTGACAACGCATCTGCATTTTGATTCGTTATCGAGGATAGATGTACGTGTCTATCGGCCACAGTAACCACTTACCATCAGGTGGACTGTGTGCTCGTTTGTACATTTTATTCTATTAAAAAAAAAAACTAGGCTGTCTGTAAATTCCAATGATACATTTCGGAAAGAAGAAGACAAGCTGACTCCTTTTTGCGATGAAGAGACATGCTTGTGATTTGGAGGTGTTGTATAGTGGTGAAACAGGAGAGAATCCTTACATCTCAGTGTTGAATATTACAAGATTGGCATCGCCCATTCAGAAACAGCCTGCAGTGAGAGATTCACGCGCTCAACCATGGCTTCTCTTTCGGATAGAATTTGATCACGACTGTCCGAGCACTCAGCTGTATCTCCCAAATTGTGCTGTCATAATTTATATTAATAAAGATAAAGATATCGCAATAATTATTATTTTAGATAAGGGCCAAGTGTCTAAGAAATAAAACTTGAAAACCTAATTCTATCCAGTAGTTTTTCCGTGATGCGCGCACAACTGCAAACTCTATCATTTCATTTATGTATATAGATATAGATATAGAAGATATTCCACGCATTCGAATTAAACGGTTCGCTTAGACATAGACATAGACATGCATTTATTCAGCAACTTACACTCATACAGTTTTGATACAGAAAATAAAATAATATATAAAAACATCAAAGATAAAAGTAAATAACAAAAAAAAGTCATAAAATGATCCGATTGCATGAGTGATGTGATGCTGAAAAGGGCACTGACTCAACATAATGCTATCATGCTATCGCAGGATTGCGGTAGCGTTGGTTTTCAGCAATGCCCATTGAGGTTGGACTCGCCCGCGAGGATAGTATATTCGCTTTATTTCTATTTTCGAGAAAGATGTTATCAAAATAATAAAATAAAATAATGGTAATGAAAAAGGATGGGAACTTTATTTATGCAGTAGGTAGCAGTAGGTACATATAAATGTATATAATAAATAATATAATGAGAATTTACAATAAAACAATATAGATTTTTATATTATACTATGAAAATATAATGCAGCTATGTTATCCGCCCTAAATGTTAAAGTGACAAAAATATTCTTTTACTTTTACCTTGAAAAGGCTGATGGTATTTAGTTGGCGGATAGGTGGGGGCAAGTTGTTCCAGCATTTAGTAGCTGCATATCGGAAACTACCGCGTAATGCTGCCGTTGTGTGTTTTGGTATTGAAAGGACATTTGATTTTGTTCGTATGTACTTAAAATAACCGTCCTTGCGCCATTTTAGTTTTTCTAATAGATACCCGGGCTTTTTGTTTTGAAAGATACCGAACATTAGTGTTGCTAAATGTAGTGCTCTTAATTGGGACATTCTTAATAACTTTGATTTATTTAAATAGGGACTGACGTGCGTTCATGGGGGAATGTGGTGTATATACCTGGCACAAGCATTTTGAATCCTCTGAAATTTTCAATTTAATATTATCGTTCTTCTCGTTGAGCTTCGTCTTTTATAATGTGTACAGAAAATTTCATTTCTGTTTATATTCTAACGCATAAACTGCGGGAATTGTTCGAAGAGAAGGAATTGCTTGGATTAATTCCAGAAGCTGAATTCTACCATCGTACTCTGCGACAAAACTCGAAATTCCATCTACATTATCTCTATGGTTGACACGACCACAATGTGGATTTTACTGGCGCCACCAGTTCTTCCAGACCGATACGACTTAGGGGCCCTTGAAGATAATACTAAATTGAAAATTTAACACCCTTAACAAAAAGAGCAAATGATCTTCAAACGGCTGAAAAGATTTTATAGATTATCAAAAAATAGCTGCTCAGTCCAAAATTTCCGAAAGGAAAAAAAAACGGATGGCTTCCCTTCTGTGAGAGCCTATCTCCACGATTCCCTTCTTCTCTTGTTTGGCGCAAGTGTCAGGCGCTTCTGTGGTGCTTAAAATTATAGTAATCCCCCTTGTGCAGACCCTTCCTATTAGCTAGACGACTTCAGTAACAGACTTGCTCTAACCTGGGTTCCATTGGGAGGAGAGATATTTCCTAACTCTAAATCATTCCCTCCTCACTCATCCAACTCTTTTAATAACCTTAATGAACCATTTTCAATAGCTGAACTCTAGTTAGTGCTTAGGCACCTAAAGGTTTCCACTCCTGGCATTGATGGTATCCCCTACTCATTTCTTGTTAATATGGATATTAAGTGTAAGCAGTTCTTTTTAAGCATAACTAACTTTGCTTTTACAACCGGTTCCATTACTGATGATTGGAAAACTCATATTATTATACAAATTCTAAAATCTGGTAAGGACCCTTCTTCAGCATTAAGTTATCGCCCTATTGCTATTTCATCAATCTTGTCTAAAATCATGGAGCACTGTTGTTAATGTTGTTCTCCCACTGCTCAGACAAAAAATGCATCAGCTCAACATTCCTGAGAGAATAACCAATTTCGTATCAAACTTACTTTCACATAGACGCATATTAGTCTTCAAACTTTGTCCCTTGTAACAGTCGGTCAGGGACTCTCCATATAAGTCCCACAAGAATTTGCCATTTATTATAAAAAGTTATTAGTTAATGTTCACTCTCCTCTTTATCAATCCCGTAGTAATCCACTTTTCAATATCCCATACGAGGTTCTAATTTTCAACCCAGACATTATTCTAAATTACAGAATAGATAAGAATGATATTGAAGCAAATAACAAATTAAATATGCTCCTCCTCAATTGGCATGATTGGTTAATTATGTACACTAATGCTTCAAAGCTAAGTTACTATGGCTTAGTTAAGTCCGCAGTGTGGATCCCTACAAGATTATTTTAAATTTTAACTCTCTGCCTGAGTCATCTGTATTCACAGGGGAGTCTTTAGCTATCTTAGAGGCAGTATTATATGTGGAATCTCACAATCTGGAAAGGACTCTCATTTTCTCAGACTCCCTCAGTTGCCTTCAAAGCATAGCATCCAGTCCTTTTCACTCTAATATAAGATACTCCCTAATTTTAAATATTAGAAAGTCTCTGTACATCTGCCATAAAAAAGGGCTGTGGATGTCTTCAAGGCAAGAGTGAATAGGCTTTTGTTAAGTCAGTGCTCTTCACCATCTTAGGCTATATCACTACTTATACTGGCTTATAATAATATAAAAAAATATCAATGTCAGTAAATCCAGTTTTGACTATATTATTTCTTTGAACAGTTGATATCAGAACAGCGTTTTTTACACTATTGCCCTAGAAGGGTAATGTTTTTGAGATAATGTATGTATGCATCTATGTCTATTTCTTTGGCATGTTCTGTAGCCTAAACAACTTAACAGATTTTAAGGTCACTTAACAGATCTTAATAAGGTGGCATTAAATTGATCTTAATTGTGGGAGTGACATAGGATATACAGTGGATTTCAGATATAACAACGATGAAGGGACCACTCTATTTTCTTAATTATATCCGGAAGTTGTTACAGGCAAAGGTAACACATTACAGTTGCTACTCAGAATATCACTTTGTAACTGAACCATAAATTTAACTCCGAAACGTACACGCTTCCCTACCTACTTAGCTGAGATCTATAAACAAAAGGTAAAGGTCTCCACACTTGCTGACCATCTGTATGGATGTAAACAAAAGAAAAGAAATGTTTGTGAAAGAAAGAAATCTTTGTGTCTTTGGCGGCCGACTCCGGTCGCAATATCTGCATGGGATTTCTAGGAATTTGTTACAAATGATTCATTAAAAACAGTCGCTACACCCAAACTCGGCGTTACATCCAAAGTCGCTATAGCCTATAACATGCTAAGCACTATAACATGAATTTTGTACTAAATTATGCTTTAAATTCAAGGGACTTAGATTTAACATCGCTATAGGTAAATGGTTGCTACAATAAATGAAATCCACTGTATAATATTTATATATTACATCTGAAAAAGGTTTTTTTTTCAGTTAACTTTTTTTAATTACTGTTTTAACCATTAAGCTTGTTTGTTAAACATATCTAAGTTGTTTTCATAAAATAAGTGTAAAAAACGAGCACACAATCCACCTGATGGCATGAGGATGCTGTGAAAAAAGAAAGTGGTAATCCAATACAAAAAAATTCTCATGTCGCAGTGTTTGTTACCAAACTCCTCCGAAATGGCTGCACCGAATTGTATGAAATTTTGTGTGCATATCGGGTAGGTCTGAGAATCGGCCAACGTCTATTTTCCAAACCCCTAAATGATAAGGGTGACCCACCCCTATATATTTTTTTTTATTTTTGTGACAATTTTTTTTTATATTTATTTATTATGCTTTAACATTGAAAAATACATAAAACTTAAAATTTTCACCCTTCCATGATCAACCCCTGTTTTTAAATCGTGATTTTTAAAACTAAAAAATATTTCCTAGAAATATATGGCAAAACAACGTTTGATGGGTCAGCAAGTTTTCTTATAATATTTTTAGTTTTTAGGGTAATTACACTCCGTGTGATTAAATTTACCATGTTTTAGATGAGTGAAGTATGCAATTATTTATTTATTAACACAGTTTTCTTGGAAGTAAATCTTTGAGTGACATTTTAATTTGATATTTTTCTTCATTAAGCGAAAACTTAAGAAATAATAGAAAACTCTGAAAAAGTATTACATCCACCTTTCATCTCAGAGATGCTACATAGCATGCAGCCCGTTTGAGTCTCCACATCTACACTGGACCCCCAGAGAGCACCGGATCATTCTTAGTGATGATACTGTCCCTCTCAATGTCTATTCATATTTATTTGAAGACATAAACAGTATTTTAAAACTTTAGTTTTGTTTTGCCTAATTATGCACATATGGGCAAAAGACAGTACCATTTGTGGATGGACTGTTGTATCCCATGACTGGACCTATTTGCCTACTTGATATGCAGTATGAGTTTTTATAAGCATTTATGTGTCACTTCTTAAAATCTAAAATAATTTTTGTGTCAGTAAGTTTGTGTAATAGTGCTATAAACTTGTTTGACATAGTTTTATATTTCTATTTGGGAACTAAAACCTCGCTTTTTCTGCTCATTATTTTATCTTCTATAGTTAATGTTATACACAGTGAAGAGTCAAACATTTGAGGAAATCTTTTGAAATACATATTACTTATAAAAAAAAAATAGTTTTTACTCGTGTTTTATAGGTTGTTGTATAATTTTTTTTATATGTACATATATAACACACAATTTTTTAGATTGACAACCTCGAAGTTAGGACAATAACTTATACAAAAAGTTTTATTCTGGAATCAAAGTAAAAAACATGTATTCTTTGAACAGCGCTTATTACTGAATGGCTGCTAATTTAACTTATGACAGCAATTTGTTCCATTATCTAATTGTAGCTTCTCCAGATTCGGTGTAAATAGAAATTTGTTCTTACATACCTTGGTTTTAACTTCTACACTTTGGCTGTCGATACGAGCTGCAATTTTGTTCTTCGACATCTCGAAAGCATTTAATACACTTACACTAGAATTATAAATCTATTTTTAAAACATTTAGGCACTTGATTTGTTAAAAAACATTGTAAAACATCAAAAGTTTTTAAATAATTGTAGTTGTTCCATACACTCGTAACTCTCGCGTCGTAATTTTATAAGATGCTGTTTCGTTTACAAAAATTTTACAGTATTAGTAATAGTAAACCAATCAAATCTATCTAATTTGCTCAACTTCCTTTTTTATTGGACCACTGAAAACGACAAAGAAAACAGATATTTTACGTTTCTACGTATGCAATATTATGCATTTTTGTCGTATTTAAACTGTATTGTAATCTATGAGCAGTAACTACTAAAGCGTTCATTTCATACAACTTTATAATTCCTGTACATACAACTTTATAATTTGTGGTTCATTTCGAGTTTGCCGTCGTCGACCGTTATGACATCACAGCTGACGGTACCGTACCGTCACAGAATAAATAAGTACAGAAGTTGCACTATTTTAATGTTGACTGCTTGCCGACGTTTTAATAGCCTACATAGTTATTATTAAGTTACGAAGCTTGCGAAGTCGCTTATTGATTTCACGATGTCTGTCCGTCTGTCCGTCTGTCCGTCTGTCCCACGATTATCTCGAGAACGGTTTTGAATTTTCAAATTCTGTTTTCAGCAATCGATTACTGATCACCCAGGCATCTGAACCTCCTATTTTGAAACTGATTGTTCAACGGCAACCGTTAGAAACCGCTACAAAGCTGATTTCTTCGCCACTTTGCTATGCTGTTAGCTTGCTAGGTTTATTAATCAGATAAATCGCGCACGCAAGCTAAATAAAACTTTATCGCTGCGCGCGGGCGTCCGTATTACTTTGCATCTTTTCTCCGTACGACGTCACAACGGACTTTTCGTGGTTGCTAAGGGCTGTTAATAAAGAGTAATAATTACATTGTGAAATGGTAAGTTACTTAGGTAAAGTACCTATGCTGACTATAATCGAGCATATTATTTAGTATGTGAGTTCTGTGATGCCCAACGCATGCAACTTCCAAGGTCATTCGTCGGAAATCGCGATGCTTGGTTCGTATAGGTAGATAGCGTAAACAACAAATACGATTTCTAACAGAAATATGATCATAATTTATTTAGTTGAAAGTCTTGTAAACAAAGTTTTAATTTCAGTATTTTCGGCTATTATAACTAAAAATATTTTAATTACAAAGACGAGTATAGGTATGTCTGTAGGTACTTGCGTAGTGAAATAAATTTCAACTAAGTTTTGTAATAAAGTACTTAGGTAGTACTTGCTTCTATAGTTAAATACTTACTTAATTATTTTTCCCTATAAGTACCTATCTAACAAAAAAAAAATTACCTTTCATTATCTTTCGCTAACTCAAAAACTGATATATTATCTGAATCCTTTTAACAGGCGTATTACAAAAAACGCGAAATTACAAGGTCTCCTCGTTAAAATTGTATGTTTATCGTTCTGTTATATCCCTTTTTACAACGCAGTTAAATCTTAGTAAGCATTTATTCAATCCCACGGTACTTTTCCTATATATGACGTCAATCAGTAATTGTATTGTTCTTTTCCATATTAATTTCATTCCATTTTACAGTCAGTTAGATTCAGAGCCCCGGGTAGATCGGACATAGATTCCGATACGTATTAGAGTTCGGAAGTCAGGGTTAATATTAATTGTGTGTGTAAACTTTTTATAATAAACCCTTAGGTTTACCTTGTGGTTTTTTTTTAAAAAGTCAAACGGGATCGGCCTCCTAACAAATTGGTGTCAGAAGTGGGATGCCAAACAGAAGGTCATAGAAGACATTGGCATCCGAATCCGAGGTCCCCGAAATCATCAAGGTCGACATTAAGCCTTAGCCGTGCCTAAGCCTGCACCTACCACAATTTTGGACGACGATCAGCCTCCGCTCTGAAGCGTGAGCCCGCTCCACTTACACCTGGTCCTGAAATCTCCCGTCTGGCCGACGATAAGTCTCCACCAGGAGCCCGCACCAGCTGGATCTAACTCACCAACAAAAATTATTTCAAGAACTTTCTACGCCTTCCGGTCCTGCTATTTCCCACGACGTGACGGAGTCACCGCGTCAGCGATCTCGCCTGCCAGCCGCCACGAGTGTAACGTTTCACCTAGCTATTGTTACGACGCTTAAATGCTACGTGTAGAAATTATTACCATTCTGTAAGTCATTTTGTATTCTGTTTAAATTTAAAATTTACTTTTATTTTACACTGTTTCTGTACTATTACCAACCTTTTACGTTGTTTTATTGTGATTATTTTATATAAGTTTAATATTTAAAATTTAATTCTATGTCGCTTAAAGCAGAAAAAGGTAAAGAAAATATGTCGGAAAGAATCACGCTTTCATTCTTGACGAAATTTATAAAATCCTATAATGGGGAGAAAGATTCCCTACCCGCTTTTCTTACAAACTGCGACAATGCAATGTCGTTAGCTACACCAGAACAACAGCCTATTCTGTGCAAATTCATCATCTCACAACTAGAGGGAAAAGCACAAGTTGCATGTAGTTTAAAAACCTTTGAAACATGGAATCAAATAAAATCATTTCTCCGTTCTACTTTTGGGGAGAAAAAACACGCGACACATTTACTATCAGACTTGCAAAACTGTAAACAGTCATCCGAGGACGTCACTAAGTTTTCTTTAAAATTAGAACAAATTTTAACAAAAATTCAATCAGATATACACTATAGTTGCAAAAACGCTGAAGAGCTTCCAGGTAGAATAGCCGCCATGGAGGATCTAGCATTAAATACATTCTTGTTAGGGTTAAATCCTGCTATTTCTACTATTGTTAGATGTAGGAACCCTCAAACTCTAAATGAAGCTGTTCAATTAGCGATAGAAGAGGAAAAATTACAAAATCTCCAAACATGTTCAAAAAATTCAATAAAACAGTGTAGTATATGTAATAAAGTAGGCCATGTTGCTATTCAATGTTTTAAAAATAAAAAACATTCTAATTATAATCATAATAAACAAATTTCGCATTTATCTAGTTCTAATTCTGGTAAATTAATGTGTAATTATTGCAAAAACATAGGGCACACTATTGATCAATGTAGAAAGCGACAATATAATATGCAACAACGTCAAAATTTTAATCATAACTCTAATTATATAAATCGTAGCCCAAATAATAATTCTAATTTTATAAGTCGTAACCCTATTTCCAATTCTAGTTCCAACTCTGTGCCTATGCACATGACATATGATAACGACGACGCTGTCGATAACTCTAACTCTTTAAACTGAATAAGATTTCGGATGCGTGTCTGCCGAAATCGTACTATCGTAACGACACGAAAACAATTAATACTACTTTTTCTACTAAATCTTATAAAAATCCTTATGCTAAATCTTATTCTAATTCTTATTCTAACTCATCTCGGCAATGCTTTAGCAAGCAACCGAGTCATTCTAGCTCATTTACATCTCAGTTACCCAAAGAGGAACTGAGTCATTATAAGTCTATTACATCTCAGCAACCCAAAGAGGTGAAGCTGAGTCTTGCTAGTTCTTATGCATCTCAGTTGACCAAAAAGGTACAACCGAGTCCTACCAAATCGTTTACTATATCTACATCTCAGCAACCCAAAGAGGTGAAGCTGAGTCTTACTAGTTCTTATGCATCTCAGTTGACCAAAAAGGTACAACCGAGTCCTACTAAATCGTTTACTATATCTTCATCTCAGCAACCCAAAGAGGTTAAGCCGAGTCTTAATGAATCTTATTCTAATTCTATTCCTATCTTTGAAACGAGCATAAATACATGCAAAGTTTCGTTACCATATACAAATTTATTTACAAAATATTCTCCTAAGTGTCTCAAACTTCTTATCGATACCGGCGCGAGTGTCTGTGTCATTAAACACTCATGTTTAAAAATGAAACATGAGCTTCTTAAGGACAAAATAAGAATCAAAGGTATAAATGATACGGATACATATTGCGAAACGCTAGGCTCAATCTACTTACAATTTTTATTAAGTGATGAAACTTACGAGTATAAATTTTACGTTATTAACGATAATATAAATCTTAATTACGACGGTATTATTGGTACAGATTTTCTTAAATATTTTAATGCTAATATAGATTATAGCTCTAAGATAATGACTCTGTGTGGTTACCAAGTTCCCATTATATTTCATCAGCCAACATACATCGTTCCGGCACGCTCAGAAGCCGTCATTGAATGCGATATATCAAATTACTCGGTCGAGCTTTATCACAATAATGAAGGCTTAGTTCTAGATCATACCTTAAGCGAGGGTATTTACGTCGCGAATTGTATTGTGTCAATAAAACCAAACAAAAAAGTAAACATCACCGTTTTAAACACGACTGACACAGACTTAGAAATTAAAGATTATTTCGTAGAATTGACACCGATCGATTATAATAATTCTATTTCCTGCGAAAATCCTATATCTAGTAAATGTTTGTATTCTATTTCTACTTCTAAATCTAATCGAATAGATCGAGTATTAAGTCTTTTACGCTGCTCCCATCTCAACGATGAAGAAAAGAAAGCACTTTTAAATTTCTGTTCCGATTATACGGATATCTTTCACCTCGAAGGTGAACCCCTTTCGTTTACGAATGGCATCCAACATTCCATAGATACGGGTAACGCGGCCCCAGTTCACGTAAAATCATATCGCTTCCCTGAGTGTCATAAGGAAGAAGTCGATACACAAATTCGCAAAATGCTAAATCAAAACATAATTCGTCCCTCTGTTTCGCCTTGGAGCGCCCCTGTATGGGTAGTCCCGAAAAAATTAGACGCTTCTGGCAAAAGAAAGTGGAGAATAGTCATTGACTATCGCCGTCTTAATGACATCACAGTTTCCGAAAGTTATCCCCTGCCTCTTATCACCGATATCCTAGATCAATTAGGCCATTCCAAGTATTTCACAACCCTTGATCTTGCCAGCGGTTT